TATAAGGGAGTGGGAGAAATAAAGAGAAACATCTATGTGAGAGAGACACATCAATTGGTTGCCTCCCCCATGGGCCTGACTGGGGTTGGGGATTGAACTTGCAACCCAGGTACATGCCTTTGACCGAAATTGAACTCAGGATCCTTCAGTCCATAGGCTGATGCTCTATCCACTGAGCCAAACCAGCTGGGGTTCCATATTTAAAAATTGACAACTGATTTTTTTCTAAAATATTTTTGAACATTGTGTAAGCCCTATTTATCTTGGCTACCAGTTTCCAAGATAGACTTTAAGGACCATAGTTTCATCTTTTTTTTTTTTTTTTGTCTATCTCATGTTTTAAGTTATTTTTAAATGGATGACTTTTTTTGCAGTGGTTGGCAAACAGAGCCAAATATCAACAGTACAACGATTGAAATTTCTTTTGAGAGCTGAAAACCAACTTCTGCACATGGGCCACAAAGCTTCAATCGCATTGTATGTGCGTGACCGCACATGGTATTTTGTGGAAGAGCCACACTCAAGGGCCAAAGAGCCGCATGTGGCTCGCGAGCCGCAGTTTGCCAACCACCTACCTAGTGAGAAGAGCCTGGCTATCAGGGCCCATCATGGTCTGGTTCATACCACCTTTCCCACACCACCTGTCATTGGAGAACATGGGTTCAAGAGCCAGATTGCCTAGGTTTGCATCCCGGATGGATTTGCCACCTACTAATAATGATTCTGAGCAAATTAATCTCTGTATATCAATCCCTTCACCTTAAAAATGGTGATGATAATAATAGTTCCTACTTCTATTTGGTTGTAGTGATTGCTATTATGTTACTATAAATAAAGTGTGCAGGACAGGCTCAGCACAGAGTCTCCAGAAGCTAGCCCCAAACATGTTGAATTTATACCCCCCAAAGTTGCAGTTCCCCTCCCTGGAACACGTGCTCTTCACAGTCCTTGGCAGGTCTCTTTATCCCTCGGGTTTCACTGATCTGGCAAAGCTTCACCCGCAGGCGTCTTCAAACTATGGCCCGGCCCAAGGGCCACATGGGGCCTGCAGAGGAGTCTGATCCGGCCCGCCAGGTTTTTTGGGCAGTGAGCGCAGCCGAGGTGTTACAGTAGGAATTAGTAGTTCATATAGTCCGGCCCTCCAGCTCTCTGAGGGACCGTGATCTGGCCCCCACTTTAAAAAGTTTGAGGACCCCTGATAGGCAGTGGTCAGCAAACTCATTAGTCAACAGAGCCACATATCAACCCCTAGGTCTTGAGTCTACTCCAAAATCACTTCACACCCAGTATTTTTGGTGTCGGGCATCTCCACACCTGTGCACAGCCTTGAGGGCAGAGACCTTGCCTTCTTGTTTCTGTAATCCTAGGACCTACCACCGTGCCAGGTACTCGATGTGCTTTCAATAACCAGTGTCAAAGGAATGAAGGCACTGCCCTTGATTTCCCTACTTGATTTTAAACTTCTTGGGGACAAGCACTCCTATTGGCTATGTCTGTGTCTTCTTCACAGGACCTCGCAGAACTATCAATTCCATACAGACGGTTCCCAACTTACGATGAATCAACTGACCATTTTTTAACGTCATGGTGGCATGAACACAGTCCTCATTCAGTAGAAGCAGCACTTTGAATGCTGAATTTCACCTTTTCCCCGGGCTAGCGATAGGCAATGCTCTCCTGTGATGCTGGGCAGAGGCAACAGCCGCAGCTCCAGGTCAGCCCTGGGATGATGAGGATGAACAGCCAAAACTCCAGAGTGCAGTGATTACATGCATTTTCCACCTTCCATGGGATTACCCTGATGCAACCTGACTGCAACTTGAGGAGCTACGACAGTAATTTGTGCTGTTTGCAAAATATAACGCTAGCTTCTGATCAAAGAGCTTACAACCTTTCCCCCATTTCATCCTCATATGCCATCCAGAGATGTCTACTCTTTGAACTCCCACAGCAATTCTCTGCGCCTTTCTTATGGTACTGAATGTTTTGTTTTTTTGTTTTTGCTTTGGATTACATCTATTGATGTACATGTCTCATTGCTTCACTAGACTATGAACTCCCTGAGGCCAGGGTATGTGTCTGACTTCAAAATCACCACTGTAGACCCTTGCCCACAGTCAGCATTCCTTAAGTGTGTCTTGGTAGTCTTCATACATACAACCTTTTCGCTGAATTTCTTATATTTATCTAGGGATTGTTAGAGAGGAAAAACAAAGATTCAACTCAGTCTGCACGGTGTTAAATCATGCCATTGAGAGTTCTGTTCATTTGAAGGAAACGTTCATTACTGTTTGAAGCATTGTACTGAGAATCAAAGAACAAAATTTAACCCACATAATTGAAAACTGAGGAAGCGGTGATTTCACAAAGGTTACATACAGTAAGGGAGATCAAAATGTGCTTTGGAAATACTTCCAACAGACAGTATAAAAATGACCTTTTTTTTTTTTTTTTCTTTAGCTGGAAAATAATATATGTATTATAAGAGATTAGTTACCTTCATGAGTCCTTTCATTATAGAAGTTTAACTTGCTGAGAGCCTTGGTTAATTGTAGAAAGGTGGAGGCAATGATATTTATGATGCCGAGGTGAAGTTGACAGTGGAAAATAGGTATTTTCCACATACAACACACGCTAGGTAGATAAGGGGATTTTTGTTCCTGTTGTAACATTTCCACCGACTTCCAATAAGTAGGTTTAATTGCATTTAAGGCAACAACAGAATAATATTAGCATCAACTTGCGGTAGAAGCCAGCCGTGCAGGTAATTGCACACCTTTACAATTACCTCATGTTTCACGATCAGATTTTTCAATGCCATGTTAATTTTATATAATGTTCAATCGGGAAAGAAAAACAACAGCTCAAACTTAAAAATCAAAACAACAGCTTTGTACTTATTGTTGAGATTTTATTGAAACAAAACAACCCGCAGAATGTATACGATCACTTCATATCTTTAAGCACTACTATGATTTAGGATAGAGATTACAAACTCCTTTCCTAAAATACATGCTATAAACAACATTTCTCTGGTGCTGTAAAGTTTCCCCGTTGCTATCCACGTGGGTTTTAGTAATAGACACACTATAGTGAGCACCTGTCACACGCCATGTAGTTTGCATTGATTAGTATTTCTAAATCACTCATTTAGTCAACAAATATTAACCCAATACTTACTGCTCACCAAGAAATGTATTAAGCACTGGGCTGCAATTATGAACCAGACAGTAGCTCTTACCTTCGGGGAAGGTACAGTCTTGTTGGAAGCAACTGCTCTGCAAGACGAGTCATTTTATCTCAGCTTCACAGCTGAGGAAAACGGAATGGGGAGGGACTACTGGTGGCCAATCCCCATGCTCTCTGCACCCCGCAACCCTGCTTCTCTCCCTTCTGTGTTCCTACTTTAATTCACTCACCTTTGCAGGAGTGTTTTCAATTAAGTAATTGTGGCAAATAACTGAAAATGCTTACTTTAATGGGAAGGTAAAAAAAAAAAATTTTTTTTTGTTTAAAACTTACTGCCCTCAATTTTTTGGTAACATAAAGAACAAATATTAAATATCAGTTATATTTTGGATTGGGGGCTGGCTTACATAAAATACAAGCCTTCACAAGGCCTAAATCCCCACATTTTTCACAGATGTGGAAAAACAACAGCTTAATGGCAAGGTGAAGGACTCAGGGGCCTATGTTATTCATAGGCTCTGCAGAAACTTGGAGCTTTTTATTAGTTGGTTTATTTTTCTCTACTCTGATTTCTACTTTTCCCCGATTGCATGTAGTCATGACAAAGATGGGAGGCAGATGGCAGGGGAGCCATGCAGGGTATGGTTTGAGAAGTAGGCAAACATCCAGTGGACTAAAGCAGGCGTTAGTTTTTGCCTCAGAAGCTTTTTTTTTTGCATTCGTTGGCTATATCTCCATGAGAGTGTTGCAGTTAATTATCAAGCGATTGTTCCAACTGAAAGATGATTGTTCTGTGGAAGCCTTTTATTTCTTTTGCTCTTTTCTTCCATCTCTCCCATCTGACATCATTTAACCGGACCTCCCAGAGCCATAGCAGAAATGTCCAGCTGCAAGGCACACAGCTCTCGAGAGAGAATAAAGGCCCCCGAACTCTTGGTCAAGCCACGTCCGTTTACCCCTAAGTATGGTTCTGCAAAATGAGCAGCCCCAGACTGTTACAGCTACTTCCGAATTGGCCTTCTCACCTACAGCCGCTTATCCCAATAAGCCGTCTTTCTGGGTCCCGGTGTTATCTTCCTAGAACACTGATCGCGTCACTCCTGTATGAAGGCCTCTGCTGACTGCCCGAAGTTTATAGAAGGAAGCCCAAATGCCTAAGGGTGACACAGAATGCCCTTCAGTCCAAGCCTAATCCCCCCTCCTCCTTCGCCCTTATCTCTCCCTATCTTTCTACCGCAGAGGCACTCACAGAATCATCCTTTGTTCCAGGAACAGGTTTTCCACACATTTGCACAAACTAGCGCCATGGCCAGCTATATATCCTTTCCCCCTTTCTAGCTGGGGAAATAAGATGCATGTGTTAAGATCCACATAAAATGATCTTTCTCCAGTAAAAACTTCACTCGTCTTGCAGGTAACTTTAGTCACACTCCTCTCTTTGAATCCTTAGCATTTTGCATATAATCTAATGGTAGCACTTCAATCTTTGATCAAGCTTCAATGCTCCTTTTTCCTAACTGAAAACCAAACTCCTCTTAAATCACCTTCATTTCCTGACTTTGTGTAGAGTAGGGCATCAGAAAAATGTCTGCTAAATAAAGAAAAATAAAAGTATGCTCTCATGTCCAGCCCAAATGTTTAAAAAGTAGAAAAAAACATATACATGTATACACTGAGATATTTATCTACATACAGTATAGACACACACACACACATTATACATATTTCAGAAATTTTAATTTTTTTCATATTAAAAAGCTTTTAAAAAATAAAAGTCCAAGTTAAAAGAAACAAAAGCACACATTAAGGAATAATGCAATTATTCCATACCAGTTTATTATAGGCATTGTTTCAAAACTTTTATAGTATAAATAACCTTTCATGTCAAAATAACTTAGTACAATTTATAATAAAACTTTGAGAATTTAACATCTCATCAAAATACAATAAAATATGGTTTTTAAAATATGATTAACCCTTTCTGCTTTTCTTTTACGTGCGGGCATGTAAAACCCCAAATACCCAAACAACTGCTGCACATTTAAACTTTAACAAAGCATATTTGGTTTAATTAAATGTAACTCGGCCATCCTAAATTAATACATAGTTTGCGTTCCTTCCTGCGTGGTTCTTTGTAATTTTTGTTCCTTTTGACTTGTATTTCTGTTTCAACACAGTTTCCTTCTTCATTTTCACCTCTTTCCATCTGCAAAGTCATCTAACTCTGGGCCCCCAGAGCATGTAGTTGAACTCAGCCCCTTGACATCAGTTTCTGTAATCCTTGCATCAGTGTGGGGAGTAATTGCTTGAGTAACTACAAAGGTATTTCAAAACTCCAGTGCAATTTGGTTCAGTTATTTTCATTCAGATGCCATCACCGTTCAGGAAGATTAATTACTGGAACCCACTGATCCATGTAGCGACTTTCCCGGCAGAAGCAAATGAGTTGACTTAAGGCGGGATCCTTCCACTGTGATGAATGTGGATTCTAGGAACAAATTTAGAAAGAAATAAGTTTACTATTAAAAAAAAAAAATCAGCATTTGCTAATAATTAAACTCCTGTGGAGGGGAAGACACTTGAACATTCTATACTTCGGCTGTGTGACATGAAGACCAGTTACAACCATAAAAAATAAAATTTCTTCCGAGTCATTGAGTTTCCTGCAAAGCCACTAAGGGTACTAGTGTACTAAACTATACTCTGCAAAGTTTAACCTAATGCAATTCCACAGAGCCATATGCAGATGTTTGCATGACAGTATTTATTCAGTTTTGCATGCGAGTATCATTCACAGGTCTGTCTTACCAAACCTGTACTGTGGCAGAGACCTGAATGAAACAACTGAGAAATATCACCATGCTGTGCTCACAGTGAGATGAGACTTGCACAGCAGTTCATTAGAACTGCCACCTGTTATCCTCCCCAAACACAGTTTTGTGTGTGTGTGTGGGTTTTTTTTGCTATTTTTCAGTAGCAGAATTAGGCAGCCAAAAAGAAATAAATGTAGGAGGCAAAGCTATCACATGGACTTCTGCAACCACAAGTTATCTACCTACGAAAGGTGTTTGTTTTTTTAAATCAGGAAAACAAAAAAAAGCTCCATTAAAAAAAAAATGCAAGATTGCAAAGAAAAAAATTTCCATTATCCTCTTCATGCATTTCTAGGGAATTAATTAGGTCTGTCTCCTACACCATTTCTATTTTTAGCTTTGACGGGCAGAGAATGAAGCTGACTCCTTTAATGAGAGCGAGCCAGGAATTTATTTGGCTTTATCTAATCTGCCCTGCTAAAGGAATTAGTCACGGGAGGTAGTGCCTATGTAGGTAGGGAGGAGCTGGGCTGACAGTGCTGACTCACAAGGATCCCTTCCGCTGCTGGCAGCCTCCAGCGTGCTCAGACATGTTCTGTACCAGAGAAAACCCCGATGATGAAACTGGCACATCTCGGCTGAAAGTCCAGCCACACACGCTAATGGGGCAAAGGCAGCAGCCACGCTCTTGACACCCTCCCTCCCCCCATTCCACTCTGCAGTCTGGCCACCCTCAGGCCCGGCGCCCTCAGCGCCAGGACGCCAATCCCGATCCTCCGCACGGAGACCCCCTCCTCCCTCACCGTCACGAGCACGCAGTGCAGGTCCGGAGGCTGCTCGGCGCCCTCGCTGGCCCCCGGGCTGGCGTCCGTCTCCAGCAGCAGGAGCTTGGCCAGGCGGCCCGGGTTGCTGACGCGCAGGATGTTGATGTCGTTCTCGCAGCAGAACGCCTGGATGAGGGTGAAGTGGATCTGCAGGGCCACGTCCCTGTCGTCGTCCTCGTCGGCGGCCAGCAGGCAAAGCACCACGTTGTCCGGGTCGCTGCGGGCAGCGGGCGGGGCAGGTGAGCGCACAGGCATCACCACCAGCCCTGGTGGGCGCCCGCAACACCCGCCTCGCTCCGCTCGCTCCCCCCCCCCCTCAGGGGGGGCAGACACCCACCCGCAGATGGATGGAAACACAGCAGCAAGCGGCGCTGCAGGGCGACCTCCCGGGGTCGGGGTGGGGTGGGGGTGCCAGGAGAGAAGATCGAGGGGCCCCACTTACACGTTAAGCAGCTTGGCCGCCTCGTACACCCCGACCGTGATGGTGCGCTGACTCAGGGCTTTGCTCAGCACTTCCTCCAGGGCATCCCCCACATTATCCATCCTGCATGCCGGCCAGAGAAAGAGGGTCCCGTCAGTCCCGGTCCCTCGGGGCTGTGGCCGCCAGCTCCCCCTGCACCGCGAGCGACCCTCCCTCCCCAGTGCTTGAGCCACTGCGCATCCCAGCTTTCTGCAAAAACCTCCCACCCCCTTCACCATTCACGACCCCTAGAAGCTGGGAGTCCCTGGAGAAGCCCCAAGAGTGCCCCCCGCCACGCTCCCTCGAGGGCGCTGCCAGTCCCTGGCGCCGGGCGCTGACAGAGGAGGCCAGCTGCAGGAGCCGCACCGGCAAGGAGGGTCCTTCTACCCTTTGCAAGGGCTCGGAAGGGCTCAACCGGGTTGGGGGTGCGAGGGAGCACGCTCTTTCGTCCGCGGGCCCCTCTGGGAAGGTCCCCGAGGAAGATAGAAGAGAGGTGCCCTCTGCAAACTTTTGCACGCTCACTCCACCACCGCAAGCCTCCCACAGCCCGGCAGCACTGGGGTGCACAGCGGGGCCAGAGTTCCGGGAGACGCTCCGGCCACCTTACCTTTCGGTCTTTGGCTCTCCAGCAGAGAATTCCTCCAAAGTCATATTGCAACTGCAGGTCCCCCACAGAGACAGAGCGGCGGGGCAGCTCTTGCACCCTAGGGCGCGCGGGCGCCGGCTCGGGACTCCCTCGCAGGCTCCTCCAGCGCCCGCCGCCACCGCGCAGTCCGCCCCTCCCGCCGGGATCGCTCGCCAGTCCCCTCCGGGCTCCACTCTCAGCCCCGCCAGGAGCCGCGCAACCCGCACCTCAGCTGCCTCCCAGCCACTGAAGGACAAAGGCCCCCGAGCACGGGAGTTATCCTGCCAGACCCCAGCCAACCACCTCCGGCTTCATTTGCATACGCGCAGCCATTGGGCTATGCAAATCAGCATTGGAGACAATTTGACCCCAGCTCCTGGAACAAGGCTTCGGAGCGGAAGGGGGAGGAGCTGCGCGGAAGCTGGCCCAGGGGGCGGGGCTGGGATACGGAGGGCGGGGCCTGGAGCTGACACATCCCTTTGGCCGTGTTTGCAGGACAGGAGTTCGTTGCCTTGGAGGGGAGTGGGGAGGGGTTGTTGTCTTCAGCTTGGGCTGGGGCAGGCTGCCAAGTGTTTTTCTGGTTGCTGCACTTTTTTTTTTTTTAATTGTAGTTTCATGTCTTTTGTTTTTAGGGGTTGCTATTAAAATCTATTTTCGGGGTAAGTGCACCCAAGTCTAGTAGTTATTAGTAAGCAGGTTACATAAAAAGATGTGTCCAGACCTCTGGGGCAAAGTTTACCTCAGAAGTGTTGTTTATGAAAGCCTAGGCAAAGCTGCTTACTATTGGTAGTATTATTTTGGTGCCCTGATGGCTGGTTTGATTTATTTTTGGAAGGTTGCAAGGGTTGGGAGCTCAAAAAAAGAAAAATCAACACATTTGTGTTTGGTGGTGGCAGGGAACCAAGTTGGAATCTTTTCCACAAAAAAAAAGCAGAAGGACTTCCCACCTGCCTAGGGTAACTCTGGAAAACCATGCTCAGGAGGGAGTTGGTTGCCACACGTGTGTATCCTAGCCTTACAACCCAAATTCACCTCTCTCAGAAAGACTTTCCCAAGGTTGGATCCTTCTACTCCCCCACTAGCTAAGAGACAATGTTAGACACCCACAAAATTCAAAATGCTCACACTATGCCCTAAGCTTTCTTTCATAGGCAAGTATGTCACTACCTTCCATGGCGAGCCTGTGATCTCACTCTGAATTATTGATGCTAGGTGCTGAATCATGAAGCTACAACTACAGGACCTTTTAGTCATATGCTAAAAAATCACCTTTGAGATAATGGCAACCTGTGGGTGGAAAGTAGGCATATTTTCGAAAAGCAAACTTTAATGTACAGACTTTCACTGAATAGGTTGAAGGTTCTTTCTTTGGTTTTATGAGTTGATGCAATAAATGAAAAAAACACACACAAACATGTCTTAAACTTACTAAAGTCACCAAAAGTGGTGAAAATGCCTTATGTTTGCATTCAAAACAGTGCTTGCATTACTAAGGTTATTCTGTAGTCAAAGGTCACAGAAATCTTTTTTTTTGCAAATGTAAATGGGAGTTTTTGTATCGTTCTAAACAAAATATTCTCCAAGTCTCTTGGTCTTAATTTAGTGGAAAAGAAAAGTGATGTCGGTTTTCTGGCTCATTTAGTTGAGCTGTTATTTTGTACTTAGATCACTAACTGCAAGGGACAATGCTTGAGTACAGAAATGGTAGTGACTAATTTATAATTTTATCCAAGGGTGCTTGTGTATTTCATATCTATACCTTAAGTCCTAACACATAATGTCTTTGTTTAAAAAATTATTTAAACTAGAAATTTATGTAAGTGCTGAGCGCTTTCAGTTTTGCAAACAAAACCTGCGTTACACAATCTGGCCTGAGTCATTATTTGGAGATTGTTGAATTGTGTTCTGTGGAACTCCAAGGTTTTATCCACAAGACATTTCTTTGAGGTTCTTTGGAAGAAAATGTGATCATAGCAAGCTGACAAAGAATGAGGAAATCTGTGAGTTTCTTGATAGCAGAGACTGTGACTTTATCAACTGGATGTTCTCAGCACCTAACACAATTTCTGCATTCAGTAGAAGCACAGTCAATTTTTATGGAGTTGAACAGTATCTGAGAGTTCAACAAGATCTCAGAATTCTGCCTTCCTGTGTATTGCATGAATTCTAATATATTTCACATTTAACTTAAGTCTGAAAAACCTTTGATGTCTTCCTATATACCAATAACTGTGCAATTCCTGGACCTCTGCCTTTAAAGAGCTTATTATCTGATTGGTATGTCTATGCTTAAACTGGATTTTGGGACAAAATAGTATGCAATGTCATCAGCTAGCTATGCTGAAAGTCCCATGACTTAGTCATCTGAACAGAAACTGTAGGAGAGTAAAACCCCACATATTGTTTAGGGCAATTCAAATGAACCACAGCTCTAATAATGTTCCACCCAAGTAAAATAATAGGCAGTGAACATGTGGCATAAAATGGTTACTTCTAGTTTTTCATTTGAAAATCATACTGCATGTTATCTTTCAGTTCATGTGAAAATTATTTGTTCAAGAGTTGTTCTCTGTGAGATAAGGCTAGTCTTCCAGTAGTCACAAATATTCACTTGTCATACTTTCTGACTCAGATAGCTTACATCATTATGCCTCATTACTGACTCTACCTAGAATGTTTCATCAGTGATTATCTGCACAGTTGGTCCTCATGGCTGGGAGTAGAAGCTGCATTTAGCTACAGTTACACTGCATTACACTTTAGGATGATCAGAGATGATCATTTCATAAATGCTTATTAGTCCTAGGGGCAGTTGGTATCCAATGATAAATCAGAGGAATTTCCTTAAGTCAGTATTTTATATTCACATAGAAAATAACTCTAAAGTGTGAAATTATTTTTAAAACTACCCAGGTAGCTCCTAGAAACTTCAAGTGCGCAGGACTTGAATGACCTTCTAAGGATATTTGTAAGGATGCCAAATAGTTATTGGAAGTGAGATGGAAACATGTACTCAAGATTGTTAAACTATTTTAGCACTGCTACTCACTTTGAATATTTTCTTCTCTTTTAGCATACATATATTCTTATATATTGTATAGTATTGAATGGCAACTTTTCTCTCAAAAATTAGTCAATCCTTTAACATCTGAAAGAAATTTTATGCTTATTATTTCAATATTAGACCATTGTTCACATGCAAGGAAATGAAACAATGACAGATTCATCTACTATCTACTGTATTATGTTGTATTTTATTATTAAAAACCATAAGGTTTCTGATGTATTGTGTGTGTGTGTGTGTGTGTGTGTGTGTGTGTGTGTGTGTAAGTCTGGTGAAGTTTTTTTAAAGGTCAGCTCTAAATTTCCCTCTTTTTCTCTTTTTCCCAGAGAATAGTATTCAGACAAAATTTACCATCACTTAAAAATGTGTCATTTCTTGCCGAAACCGGTTTGGCTCAGTGGATAGAGCGTCGGCCTGCGGACTGCAGGGTCCCGGGTTCGATTCCGGTCAAGGGCATGTACCTTGGTTGCAGGCACATTCCCGGTAGGGGATGTGCAAGAGGCAGCTGATCGATGATTCTCTCTCATTGATGTTTCTAACTATCCCTCTCTCTTCCTCTCTGTAAAAAATCAATAAAATATATATTTTTAAAAAATGTGTCATTTCTTAGGATCAATACTTTTATTTGAATTTAACATAAATGTTTAGTTTTTTGGACCATACTGGAGTAGGCAAATTCTAAGATGACCTCAGTGATATGTAACAGCTGGTATTAAACTCTGCATAATCTTTTTCCCTTGAGTGTGGGCAGAACCCATGCCTACATCCTAGAGAATATGCAAAAGATATTGGGCTATCACATTCAATGGCAAAGGTTAAAAGATTTTGCAGATGTAAGTAAGGTCCCTAATCAGTTGACTTTGAGTTAATCCAGAAGGGGGTTGTGCTAGGTGGGCCTGACCTAATCAGGTGAACCCTTTAGAAAAAAGCCTAGGCCTTCTCTGAAAAGAGACTATAGGTAGCAGGGACTCTTTCTCTCCATTGGTGGCTTCCAAGAAGCAAACTTCAAGTAATTCTACAGCTGCAAGGAATTAATTTTGTAACAACACAAGAGAATTTAGAAATAGTTTCTTCCCAAGTCAAGCCTGCAGATGAGCCTGGGCAACATTGATTTTAGCCTTGTGAAGCCCTCATAAGAGAACCCAGCTAAGCCTGGACTTCTGACCTGCAGAAACTGTGAGACAATAAATGAGTGTTGTTTATATATTTATAAATGATTTTTAGAGAGAGAGAGGAAGGGAGAGAGAGAGAGAAACTTTTATGTGAGAGGGTAACATCAATCAGCTGCCTCCTACATGCCCCCTGTTGAGCCCACAACCCAGGCATGTGCCCTGATCAGGAACTGAACCAGCAACCTTTCAGTGTGAAGGATGAGACCCAACCTATTGGAGCCACACCCGGCCAGGGCTTACTCTTGTTTTAAATCACTAAATTTGGGGTGATTTTTTTTTTTAACATCTGAAACCTAAAATAGTGCCCTTAATATCATTTTGTTGTGTGTTCAATAAAACCTTATTCTATGAAAATTTTCTTCAGCTATTAATATTCATAGCAGTGGAGTCATGATGTTGCCTTGAGCTTTAGACTAGCCACCTGTGTTTCCATCAGCTGCTCAGATTTCACCAGTTATTCAGAGGCCAGCCAGTGGAGGTGTCAAAGAGACTCACTAGGACATTTTTCAAAGACTTCCTTTTCCCATTCCTCCCCTCCACCCCTTGAGTTCAATGTGTGTCAGAAGCCTTCTACATAGTTCTTTCTGTGAATGTCCCTACTTGGTAGGGTAATCACAGATAAAGAAGGTAGGTAATTTGAGTTGGTAGTTGGTAATTTGTTCTGGTACCTTGAATAGGTTTTTCAAGTTTCTATCTCTGAAACTGCAGACTTGATTCTTTTTACTTTTGGATTACAAAGTTTTCTTTTTCCTAACTTTCAGCAACTCAGTCCTTGGGTTTCTTCTCTATCTACACTTACTCTCTAGGTGACCTCATCCAGTCTCATGCCTTACATATTTTTTATATGCTGATGACTCCCAAATATATTTCTAATCTGGTCAGTCATCTCTTCTGAAGCTGAGGCTTAGTCATCTTCTCTGTTTCAATATATCGATATAATAAACATCTCAAACTTGAAGTGACAAAAGTTGACCTCCTTACTGTCCTCCTGTAGGTCAATGGCAACTTCATTCTTCCCATTGCCTAGT